TGCCAGAGGTGAGACCGAAGAGATGCTAACAAAAGCAACTGGTTTAAGCAAGTAAAGCCGAATAGATTTGATGGCAACTGTCCTATTGAGCGGAATGTTTTAGAACAATGTATTTATTAAAGGTAGGAAATATTATTTTTGTTTTTGCCGGGTTGCAATTTTACGGTTGCAATTCACATGCAACAAAATTATTCACATAATCGTAAATTAATTGTGTGGGGTTTACACTGAAAAACTACATTTGAATACAATACCGTATGAATGTGTTTGCTGTATTTGAAATCAACATTTTTCACCCTGAATTAATCAGACTAGGAAATGTTTAAGCATGGCAATGCGATGAGGCATTTTAGATTAGATCTATAATGCTTAATTATTTAAATAACTGGAGTTGCAAATCACTAGCTCATGTATATGCACTGTTTACGCATATGTAGTCAATATGATAATAACTGAAAAACTCCAGATAATACCATATACAGTACAGGCAGGTGGCTTACAGTATATACTATACAGGTATGTAACCTAATGCAACGTGGTAAGCACAATTAGTTTTGCATATTTTCATTTTCAATGGGTAAAAATCAGAAATTGAGCCGTTTCAGTTCCAGGTAAAATAATTTAATCCCAGTGGGAAGCTTGTGCCTGTGAAAGAGGGCACAAACGATGACTGTTCTGTTACTGTATACAGCAGAGTTTCACTCTCTCATGCAGATATAACAGGTTGACTCGCTCTGTAAATCACACGTGTGCCCATACAACAAGGAGCCTACCCCCCCATGTCATAATTCCATTTTAGCTGCCGTTACTATGTTTAGATTTATTTTAAGGAATGTTAAGATACCAATGTTTACATTACAGAGCAGAGCGGTGGCTCTGTGACTAAGGATCTGTGCCTGGAACTGGAAGGTTGCCAGTTCAAATCCCACAGCCCGCAGAGGAATCCTACCCCTGAGCAAGGCCCTTAACCCCAACTGCTCCAGGTGTGCTATGCAATGGCTGACACTGTGCTCTGACCCCAAGCTTCTCTGTGTGCCTGTCTCATGGAGAGCAAGCTGGGGTATGCAAAAAGAAATTGTATAAGGCTAATAAAGCAACATTATTATTACCATCCATTTAATCTATCCTCACAAGTGCTACCACTCACTGACCTCCTTAAGAAGTCAGCTAGGACTTAGAAATTTGTCACTTATGAGGCAGCAGCTCACCCAGCGAGATCTTTTCCCCCGAGTCTGCAGGCAGCAGGAAGACCAGCAGAGCCAGCGTGGAGATCAGGACGCAGGGGATGAGCAGGTTCAGGCCGTAGTACAGAGTGCGCCGGCGCATGACCACTGTGAACGTCACGTCTGGGTACGGCTCCTCACAGCACTCGTAGAACCTCTCATTCCGGCGCCCCTGGACACCTGCGGTTCAAAGACATTGCAAAGACTGCACCA